CCTTTTATTTATTTAAAATGTGTTTTAAATTAAAAATTTAAATAAAAATTTGTCCACTACACCTTTACTTTAGACAGCCTGGATGTTTAAATATATGCATCCAGTTGTTAGCAAAGGCTGTAGGAAAGTATAGTTTGGCTTTATTTAGAAAATATAGAAGTTGTTGTTGTTAATTTTCTTTTGGAACAGTGTATGTGTATGAGATGACATGTATTGTGAATTGGCGCGATATAAATAAACTGAATTGAATTGAATTGTAAACTGACCCTGAGGTTCTGGTGTCTATCTGCTTTTGGCCACCCCTCAGTGTACGTTGGTTATTTTTTCCCTGGCCACCCTGATAAAAATTCTCTGGCTATGCCTCTGCATAAACAAAATAGAACAACTCATTTTTGGAAAAGTTTAAATTTGAAACAAAATATAAAATAAAACACATTTGTTTTTCCTCTTTTTTTGTCTTTACAAATGTAAGAATTTCATTGGTTTGATTTTATTTTTACTTAAAAAGTATGAGAACACCAACTAACTGTGTTACTAGTACAGTGATCTCTATTGTGTTTCATAAAATAATAAATGAAATAAAAAAAGAACACAGACAAAAAATATTGTATGTTTTTTTTTTTGTCTGTTGTGTGTTTTTTTAATTTCATTTATTGGATGGGTTGATGGACAAAAAAGACATACATACATTTTTGTCTTACATTTTGATAAGCCACAGCAGTATATGAAATTCACATGAATGGGATCTAAAAAAAGAATAGTAAATATATAGTGAGAAAAGTAAGTATATAGTGTCTATCTGTAAGTTATCTGTCATAGAACGGGCAAGTTGAGCTGAGCACAGCAGCCTGTTTTCTGCCTCTCTTCCTACATACAGCCAGATACAGGATTAAAGGACACCATTTTTTTTTTAGAAGAATAAAACAGCACTTCCACAATTTCATAGCTATTACTGATAAATTCTATATCTGGGTTAAATTAGTTTAGGGTTGCATTTTTGTAAATAAGTACTGTGGATTGTGTCCTTATTAGACTACAGAGGAAATATGTAAGAAATATAAACAGTAGCCTAGACTGTGAGAATAATTATGATTGGAACTGAGTCCAATAACTATACTGCACTGTGCAATGAATACTAATGCACAATTGTAAGACAGAGGACATTATGATCTATTGAAAGGAACCAAGAGGAATGCACCATTAAAATATATTTATTGGTTACTCATCCTGGATGGACACTGAGGGACTCCTTGGGGTTCCCCCAGAGGAGCTGGGCCAAGTAGCTGGGGAGAGAGGGACATCTGGGCCTCCCTAATGAGGCTGCTACACCCCCGACCCGACCCCGGATAAGCGGAAGAAGATGAATGGATGGATGGATAGTTTGAATTTTCTTAATTCATCCAAAAAGCAGAAAGACTACCTACCTCAATTATTTCCAGGTAAAATGTATCAGATTTTTATCAATGAAGTCCCCTGAAAATTTATCCAGCTCATTTAGATCTTGAAAGAAATTGATCTGATGTTTTCTTAAAAATCCACACCACTGTTCAATCCCTTGGTTGTGATTACTCAAGCCGGTGATGTAACATCTCTCAGAAAACTTGTCTTCATGCTTACTCCTTAAAAATAGCTGCATCTCATCTCTACCAGATCTGACCTGATACGTGTTGGAGTTCTGCTCATTTTTTCCACTTCATCGATAAAACGCCCAGAAGTAACCCTGGGATAGCTACTTGTGAAGTAAGTGCAGACATAAAACCATAAGTGAAAATCCATCAAAGTGTGTCATATTAATCATGCCATATCAAATTAGGAGCTGGGTTTCTGTATTGACCTCGTCTTTATGATTCTGAAGCCTCAGCTGTATTCCTTTAGGATCTAAGATCATTAGGAGTTTCAGAAAATGTTTATGGGGGAGCAATGTGCACTGCAGGGTGGCAAAAAGCTAATAGGTGGCAGAAACATTTTACTGTCAATCTGTGCTGATTACAATAAACCAACAGGAAAATGAAACCACACAGCATCTATATTTTCCAAATAAATCACAGATTTATTTGGAAATTTCATACAGGCCTTTAGATGGTTTATTACAGTTTATTACACAGAGGTCCCCTAGATGACAGTGTAGACCACCTCCTCATTAGTCAACAGGGCACAAAAGCGCTTGTACTCCCTGCGGAGGATGAGGAGAGCCCACCTGCCCCCACCCATCCTCACCACCTTCTACAGAAGCACCATAGAGAGCGTTCTGACCAGCTGTCTTACTGGAAGCTGCAGTGCCACAGACTGGAAGAATATGAAAACAGCAGTGAGAACAGCAGAGAGAATCATCTGGGCTCCTCTTCCCTTAATAAAAGATATTTCATCCCAGTGCTGCGTGTCCCAAGCTCGTAACATCATCAATGACCCCTCACACCCCCACCATGGACTGTTCTCCATGCTGCTCCTTCTGGGAAGAGGCTTTGCAGCATTCGATGCAGGTCCAGCAGATTTTGAAACAGTTTATTCCCCACCATCATCAGACAGCTGAACTGTTGAAAAAAAACTCCATATCTTGTTGCAGACTCTGCATCACACTGACAACACCAAACCAAAAAACACTGCATATCTGCACCACTTCAGACTTGGAAAACAAAGTGGTTTGTTTTTTTTTACTTTTTAGGAAGTTGCATAGTGACCTTTTTACAGTTTTCGCTTTGGTAATAAAACTAAACAGAAAGGTAGCTTGATAAATATAATATACAGATTCATATTCAACTGTGCAGCATCTTCATAAATACAAAAACAAAAAAGGCTTGCTGGAAAAAAAACAACACAGCTCATAATAGATGTTGGGACCTGTCAAATCTTAAATCTTGGATATTTAACATGCTGGATTGTCTTGAGCTTATGATTTGTTCGATTTTTTGGGCAAGATTTCTCTGATTCTTTTTAATTTATACTCAAGAGTGGAGTCTCTCAGGTTTTTAAAACCAGTCAACAATTTTAATATCTTATCATGTTGCATTCTTGACTGGAGACATGCACTTTACCAACCAAATATATGGAAAGTACTTTGATACGAATGTATATGAATTTCAAAGTAGTATAAGACATGGATGGCTCGATCTGAACTCACATACAGAGACCATGAGTAATTGATATGAGATAAGAATTATGTATTATTGATACCTATGTTCTCTTTGGTTCATTGTTAAAATACATTGTCAATATTACTGTAGCTTGCGCTGTGAAACAACCAACAGGAGAATTTTGTTTCAAATAATCCAAACTCATTGTAGTTTCCATATATGACCGTTAGATGGAGTTGTTTTACAAAGAACAAAACCATTTCTAGTATTTAAAAATAATTCCCCTTTACAGTATATCACATAAGAAAAGGACATCCCATTTTTTTAAATGTAGATATAGGAAATATATATTAAAATATTGTTTAGACCAGTGCTGAAAATTGTAAAAACAAATATGGTATTTTAATTTTTTTTAGCCATATCTTCATTTTTCAAATCATTAAGAAAATGTTGATATCAGATAGGAAAAACCTAAGTTATTATGAAATGTCATTTTCATTGTTTAATTCGCTTGTATTTCAGTTAAGTGCATTGGTATTCACAAATTCTACAACATGCTAAAAATAAGCTGTGTCCTGTGACTGACTCACCTTGTGTTGTTAAATGCTTTGAACTTTATTTACTTCTTTTAAAAAGATACAGGTGGAAACACGCTAGTTTATAATTTTAGTGACAAAGCAACTCAACTGAACAAAATGTTGAAACAGATATAAGAAGTAAGGACTGTCAAAGGTCATGTCACTGAGTTAAGTGCACAAATTACCCGAAACTCAGGTGTTCACACTTTCTAAATTGGCATTTTGCATCTGTGAAAAGACAGCATCCTAAGAATCACCATTAATAATCACTCATTTGGTGTATAGCTAATAAGAAACACAAAGTATGACAGGACATTTCTAAAATAAATCCCATTCTTGATGGTTTGTTGGTCCACTCACTGGACTTTGTTATGGAAAGCTCTGTGCTTACACCTTTCCCTCCCCGGTTCTTTCCTGAGAAGAAATCACTCTGCACAAAATAACACTCATAATGTATATGTATTAAATAACCATGAGACATGAAAAGAGATTTTGATAGAAATTGTAATCTTACTGAGATCAGACTAGTTGCTTAGGGTTACAGAAGGCAGTGTTTACCAACTGGGCTCACATCTCGTGAAGTGGCCCCAAATCATAGTTGGAGAAGCATTTTATACAATCCAAGTATGCCACATCATTACATACCATACCATACCATACCAACTTTATTTATGAAGCACTTTATACACCGGACAGGACCAAAGTGCTGTACACAATCATAAAATACAATAAAATTATAAAATAGAGAAAAAACAAGTGTAAAATACATATTAGCATACAAAAAGAATAAAACAAAGTAAAACCTCTCAAATTGTGCCAAAAACCAAGGAAAAAAGATAAGTCTTAAGAAGGGACTTAAAAACAGCGAGAGAAGAGGCCTGTCTTATGCTCAGAGGCAGATCATCATACACGTTTGCGGATGAGGAGACATCCAAGGCTCCAGCCATATCAAAATATCACACTATGTTCTTAGATCAAGGACAAAGCTCTCATTCCATTCCAAAATCTTTGCCACGTACATAATGAAGATGACTTTTTATCTTGACAGAAAAACTGTTCTAATTAGATAAACTACTTGGGAAAACATTAGTTCTGACATGCAACAGGCAGAAATTATTAGGGTTTAACAGATTCACACATCATCAATAAAAATAATCCACAAATATTTGGCTGTATTAAACTCTGACTGAAATACGAGGGAATTAAACGCTGTGAGAACTGCATTTCATATTAACTCTGGTTATTCCTATGATTGTAGGTGATGTGATCTGGTTGTTAAGAATATCACTATGGAAAATATGAGAATGGGTAAACATATTAAAGCCCCCTTTGGCCTTGGACCATTTTCTAATGGCTGCAAGGTTTAGGGTCCAGGGACTTCTCCTCTGGATTTTTTTGTTTTTCTAAACTAAGATATTTTTTTTTAAACTACCATAGTTTTCTTTTGCAAATAAGATATTTGGGCCCTGTAATCTTTAACAGAAATATTCTCGCCCAAACAGAGACTGCAGAGTTGTTACTTCAATCTAAATCTTTACAATAGATGTTGCATTATTTATTTACTGTACCTTAAATTAAACATATATCATAAAGATATGGTATACATTTTTAATAATTAAAAATAAAAAAGACAAGATAAATAAAAAATATATATATTGTGATATAAGGATAAAGAGAAGCAGTTTATTCATAATCATTATTTTACTACATTAGATAACAAAGGGAATTCAAACTGTACATAAACCCTCTGACTTTTTTGTAGAAAAAGATATAAACTAACTTTAGATGTTAAGAAAAGAAAAAAAAACATCTTTATACATAAGCCTTAAGATGAAACACCATTCATGGTAAAAGTAATGGATTTAAAGATTTACAACAATATGTGCTCAAGGTGATAAGACATAGTGAATATTGTGTTATATGATTATGGGAAAAGGCTCGCTTTTCCTGTTGTCTCTCCCCTTGCTGGCAGTTAGGTGTGTCCCATTAGTTACTGACGGTCATAATTGTTGCATGAAACTTCTTCCTTCAGGAAACAGTCTTTGTCCTGTTCATTCAAAGCTTCCATGGTGAAAAGCTATGCTTTGGGTGTTTGTTCTTTCACTTTTTGCCTTCAAAGAAAGAAAAAAATAGATTTCGTGAGTAGAAGCTACCTTATTTAGGCTTATCTGAACATGATATAATTATAATCAAAAAGAAATGTGGATTAAGTATTATAGACAATGTAATGACAGTAACTAATCAGAAATGCTATAACAATAAATAAGTCGTAACCCTGATATGCTTTTCAACTGTATGACTAAGCACGTCTAAGTAACTAACGAATAACTGAAGCTGCCATCCAGCTGAGTCTAAGATGACAAAGCAATCAGATGTTGCAAGATGTTAGTTTATCTGAAGGACAAATGACTTCTCCACTCTCTGTCAAAATTCAAGATTTCAGTAAATTGGAGTTTGATAAATCATTTTATTGAGTTAGTTTTACTTTTATCTAAAGTGAAATCTGTATAATTTAAGTTTAAGGGAAAATCTTTACCCAGCAGAAAAAAAGAAAAGCTTTAATGAGGCGGTTACAGAAATGTTCACACTCCTAAACTACCGTACTTTCCTGACTATAAGCCGTTACCTTCTCCCATTCTTTGAACCATGCAGCTTAAAAGTTAAGCTGTTGATTTTTCTGGACCATCTGTAGGCAGAGGCGAAGTTGAAAATTAAAGAGGAAGGGGCTAATTTTTAATTAGCATGCACAACAGAGAACAACTGTCCCGAATTCACACATTTTGACAGTTATTTACTGCATTAAAGCTGTCAAATCAATAAAGGGACTGTGAAACTCATTCAAAGCTGAAATAAAGATCCGATGAAGCTCCATAAACAGTATTTTTCGTCCCTAATCTAGGGTTGATATGTAGAGCTCCCCCTACAGGTTAGGTGGGGTACAGTTCAGTAGATATCGGCGACTTATAGCCCGGTGCAGCATATACAGTATGTACATTTCCAGTTTAAAAAGACAATTAAAATGAGTGGCTTATAGTAGGCTTATAGTGAGGTGCACTCTATAGTCTGGAAAATACAGTAATGCTTTAAAGCCAGTTTTAAAGGAACACTCTGTAACTTTTGGCCACTAGGGGCGCTAGACCTATAACGGCCCGTATTTTGCTTCTACTAAACATCTGCCATGGTCCTGTTTTCTGATCCACATGCAGAGCATACCGAGGAGACAGGTAAGGCAGATTTAAGATTGTTTATTTTAAAAAAATAAAGGCAACGTTTGGAGTTTCTTCAGGGTGTCTGGAAACAAAGGGAGCGTGAGGCACTCTGCAACAGAGAGCAAGATTTAATGGGAGTATGTGTAAGATGAAAACGACAGCAAAGGCTTACTACGTGAGTGAGCATAAACTTTTTCCTTTCCTCAGCCAAGACCAGTAGTCGAGCATGCGGGAAAATAGTAGAGCAAAAGCCTTAGCTATATGGCGATGTAAGAGGGATACGTTCCTCCAGGTCACATGACCTGGCCAATGATGGTCCGTCATCTCCCAACTTACATTGTTGGTATTTCAAGATGGGAGCCCCCCTTGTTGCATTGATAGTGTCAATTGCTGTACATTGGCCAGAGGATTCATTTTAAAATTATTCATATGCATCAACTCTTTATATAAAAAATCTGCGATGTGCCTATAAATACATATCTGTGTTCAGTCTAATTTGGAAAGACTAAGCGTGTTGCATTTTGCTGATATTTTTGGACTCTGAAATGCATAAGTTCTCCAAATTTCTAGTCATATTTTTTGGTTTAGAAAAACAAGAGCACACTCACCTGGCACGTCTTTTCTTTAGTACTCTTTTGACCCATGTAGCCTCAGGATCGAGGCAAACCTTTTTGTTATTCATCTTAAGTGTTGCACTGCAGGATAGAATACATATCAGAGACGTCACAAATTGCACAATACTCTGGGAGGACTTGTTCTTTTAAAAGTCCATATCTACACAGGTGGTTGCATAAAGGAAAGGACTCACATTATTTGAACTTCAGCACAGTGCGAACTTGCAGCGTGCACTTCCAACACTGCTATGAAACGGCCAATGGGCTTTTTTTCCTTGGTAATGCAATGGCAGCGCAGATTCACCCCCTGTGCGACCACAATGCTACCTGAGGTTTAAAAGTTTACAGACTGTAAATCAGTGCTTTTACATGAGGAAAACACAAATACAGATACAACACACATTAGACAGATACACTCACCTTCGTGTATGATCTGAAGAAGCAGAATGGTCACAATTGTGTTCACAAACATGACTGCAATGAGAACAACTTTAAACGTTTCAGAGGTATTCAATGTTTTGGTTCTCAGAAATCCAAAGGCAGCAAGAAAAGGCTGACTGTTCCCTCTTAACTGTCAACTGTGTTGCAACTGCTCTGCAAAGACTTTTTATATGTGCCTCTTCCGCTCCTTTAAGAGAAGACAGTTTTTCTTTTTTTAAGGCAGTTCACACGAGAGCAAACTTGGACCACTATCCTTGCGTTCCTTGGAAATACAGTGGGGACACTAATTTTTTATTTTTTTACTTAGTTGCTTATCCGCTCTGTTTGTTTTCAAAGATTTTTTTAACATATAAATTTTAACAGTGCAAGAACATGTTTTGTAATTCCACATGGTTTCCTTTTGCAAATGAAAACATTGACCAATTAATTGTTTTTGCATGTAAGAATATTTGATCATCTGGAACAGATCAGCACAGAAACAGCCTTATCTGTTACCATATTTTTTACCGATCTGTAGGTGTACTGCAGCCTTTTACATACTCTTGATTTAAAAATAAATGTATCCATCTGCTGTCATCTAAATATTTTCTTTGTTAAACTACATATGAACCCAAACAATTTTTTTCTGTCCACTGTCTCCTGCATACATTATATATGTTTATGAACAGTGGTAGGTTGCAACAACCTGGCTTGTCCCGACGTGATAAATGACGCTAAAATGCATGGAATGTCTGCTGCAGGGGAAAGAACAGTGGCCTGAATCCAAGTTGTGGATACATCTAAAGTCAAGGGTTAGTGAAGTCCACATCTTATCTCATTTACTTCTGTTCTCCTGCCATGTGTTAATGAAAAAACTCCCAGAGATTTCCAGGAAACTCCACAAGCTTATTGCTTCTTCTATCCTATTGGATAACATTCACTTCCTCGTGTGAATCATTCATGTCAACCCCAGCGCTGCCCCTGCTCCAGATAAGTGTAAGCTATTGTAAACATTGGCCTTTAAACCAACACACAAATGGCAAAATACACTTACAACTTTGCACACACACAGCCAAACCCCTCCTTCCCCTACACACACTCTTGTCTTTCTATATAGTCAGGATGTGTTGACTCCTATTTTCTACCCTTTCTAGTCTCTAACCCTGACAATTACCCTAAATCTAACTATTACCTTCACTTAATTTGCATCTTAATCAAAAACCTAGCCGTTAGCAAAAAATAAAGCGAGGAACAAAGAAATTTCCCCAGGTTAATACAAATGGTCCTAAATCTGATAATAGAATTTGTTTAAAAAAGTCCTCACTCTGATTCTAAAACAGGGGTAACACCTCCCCACACAAAAGTTTGTATTTGTATCAATCCATAATTGACCTAGATTTATTTTAGTTATTGATTTATGCCTAAACCCAACATTTACCCTATTCCTGACCATTTGCTCTATATTTCTAATCCTACCTTATCATTAATCTAAAGTGCATTCACGCCTTAGTACTAAACCATATTGTGTGGGCAACAGTGTTGCCTGATGTTGGTTTGATCTGCAACCGGAGAGTCACTGCTCAAACCCCAGCTCAGGCATTCTATGTCTTTGTGTCCTTGGGCAAGCACCTGCATTGCCTATTGATGGTGGTCAGAGAACCCGGTGGCTCAGTGGCCCCAAGGTAGCTGTGGCTACAATGTAGCTTGCCACTATCAGAGTGTAAATGAATGGGTGAATGATTTAATGTAGTGTACAACGCTTTGGTCAAGTCTCCTGACTTAAAAAAAGTCCTGTATAAGAACATTACATTCACCATTTTCTGTCCCACTATTCTTGTGAGGACTTTTCATTTGCTTCCATTTGTCTTCCATTCATTTCTATGGCCTAATCCTGACTCTTACCCCAACCATTACCAAAACATTGCTAACCTAACCTAACCTAACCTAACCTAACCTAACCTAACCTAACCTAACCTAACCTAACCTAACCTAACCTAACCTAACCTAACCTAACCTAACCTAACCTAACCTAACCTCCCCACAGGGTATTTTAAAACATGGCCACACACACTCTGAAATACAGAGAGCAAAAAGAAAAATATTTGATGATTCATTGCTTCAATTCATCTCCTGCTTGAACTTAGTTTGGCTCAGCATTGAATTGTGGTCAAGCAAAACAAAACAAGTTTAATAGACTGTAAAAAGTATTTTTAAAACCAAAAAGGAGATGTTCCCACACTCTGTACTCATGCCAGGCTTTGCAAGAGTATTCATAAACCTCTGTACCTTTTTCAATTTTACTTAATTTGATTTTTTTTTTTTTAACATTTTTTAAGTGGTAGATCAAAACTAAGTGGTGTTCTAATGTTAAATAGAATAAAAATGAATGGCTTCAAAATTGTTTGCATAAATAACTTCCTTGAACCACAGTTTTTATTACTATTACAGCTGCAAGTAAAATATGTTTAATCAAAGGTGGGTAAAATAATCTTGATAAGTTGTGAGTTTGGTCTGCTTGTATTTTGACATATTATGAAATAGTGGATTGAGTATTGATCTGTTATGAGCTTGGTTTAATTTCTTGGTCTTCATGATGGGGTTTGTTAACAAATGCTAAAGAAACGGACATCAACAACAGTAACACATGGAGACTTCAGGTCTTTACCATAGAGTCAAGCATACAACCAAATATGGGTGTATTCGCCCCTTCCAGGTGTCTTGCACACACTCTTCAACTTTCACCACTTATTCTCAGGTGGTGAAAACTCACTATCGTACTGAAACCCTTGACCAGTGTTAATTGTATGATTTTAAGAAATTGGCTGTGTCAATTAATTATTAACTCAACTAAGGCACCTGATCCCTAAAAACAACATACCCCTTTACCCGTTTAGTTTCCACTAACCCTAACCACGGAAAAAAAACGTAACTAGACCAGAAAAACAAGAAAAAAATGACCATTGAAAAGTGATCAGCTCTTTAACAATGGCCATAGTTAATAAAGCTGTCATCTAAAGTATATTTTTGCTTTTGCCCCTGTTTAACTCTATCTCTTCTTTTAAATTTTTTTAGCCATTAGATATGCAATTTACTTCTGAAAAAAGTTTTACTTTATTCTGTTATTTTTAGGCTACAACTTTTATTTGATTGTTTCACAATAAACATGTCTACATTTATTTATGTTAACTACATGTTTGTCTATTTTTCCTATTTGTTGTACATATAAATTGCTACTTGGTTAGTAAGCATGTTCTGATGCTGATATGTCTGATTCAAGATTGGTGACTTTTTTCCCATATTTTCCAAACCGTAAGTGAAAGAAAGATTAAATTCTCAACCATAAAAACAGGAATAGACCCCACTTCTAACCTTTAACATCCTTCCTCTATGTGGCCTTCACTGAGCAGCTGGATTTCTAGTAAAAACAAACTGTAGATGGATGAACTCCACTGATTGTTTCTGGGAGGCAGTTGGTTGATTTTATTTAGGTGTATGTATATAAAGGGTTCTGAGTGCAAATGCCCAACAAGTTTTTAGGTTTTTATTCACAAAAAAACACATGCATAATTTTCCTTCCACAGCACAATTTTAAGCATTGCTATGAGTCTCTCCTATGGTGGTGAAATTTGAAACAGTTCAAGGGGCATAGTTTGGAAGCATGCTTTCTTGAGGAAGTAACTGTCCTGTCGTTGAAAATGTTAGTGTGTTTGCAAATCAAAGAATGTCGCTCGCAGGGCAGATTTGTTTTTAAACATAATAATTGTAATCAAAACAAATGGTTAAACCTCAGTGTTTAACCTCCTGAGGGCATGAATCAACACCTCAAACTAGACATGCCAAGTTCATGTCGAATAAGATGGAGAAGATAAACATAGCATGACTGTTCTTGGTTAAAATCATATGCTTAATAACACATCTAACTAAGAAGCTTACAAATAAGCTGGTTTGACCAAGTTCAAAGATAATCTGTTGAGCACATTGCTTTGTGATCCTGTGTCTGAAAATAAAATAAAATAAAAAGTTTACTCTAGAACAGGCCTGGGAAAGGTTTTCACTAAGGGATGTCTTGATTTAATTACACAAACTGAAGGAAATATTCAGAACTGAAAAGTTAGGAAAGCATGCTGCGGCAGACAGGATCTTACACAAGCGATCAAGTTTCAAAAATACAATAAAAGTATTTTTCTTTGTTTTTCTTCCACGTAAATGTATAAATATTGCTTTGAGGGTTGACCTGTTTCGACATGGGTAGTTATTTGAAGAAGTATATATCTATTGATGAAACATTGGAAGATGCCCCCCCACCTTTTCTAATGATGTAAAGTTTGTAGGATTGTTTATTTTTCTTACAATCTCTGCACATTTCACACACTTTGTTGTTGACCACTGTAAATTACATATTTTTCTACTCTTTGCTTATTTATCATCTTCTTTGTGTATCTAAACTCAACTGACGAGACTTCCTACAGTCAATTTTTCCTTAAAAATCAGTAATAGATGGGCATGGATGCAGAGCTGCCTAAAGTCCCTGGGCCATAGTTTGACATGTAGGACCCAGATACTGTATTACCAGTACAGTATAGTATTAAGTTACACCACCAGCTAATATAATTCAGCTGTTCAGATGACATATATTGCCATAGGTGCATCAAATCCAGTTCTACGGCATATGGACTTAACCTATTTTGTCACAAAATAGGTCACCTTAGGAAATCTTCTAATTTAGTCCTGTTCTGTCAAGTGAACAGTGATGCTAGTTAACTGCTAGATAGACAGGCTACGTGAGTAGTTTTGGCAATAGTGCTCTCAGATGTAGTTTGGGAGAACCTGACATTCTGTTAGCAGCAAAAACTTCTCCTAACAGGAAGACTTTCGCTAGATCTGTATCCTTAATATCCTCAACTGTAGATCTCAGTGGCTTCAGCTGATAACGAATAGCAGAGATTTCCCTTCACTAATCATTACAAGATTTTGAAGAGCTTTGGTGGAGAGTGTGATAACACATTACATCACAGCAAGTTGCCCTGCAAACATTTATTTTTTCCTAATTCCAGATTCTTTACATTTTCTCTAAACCTTTATATATCAGAAAAATACAGTGTGACTAAAAAAAAAAAAAAAAAAAACAGCTCTCAAATAATGATATAATTCTAAAAGAAAACAAACTGTTCAAACCCACCTGACCCCATATGAAAAGTGAATTCAACCCCTGTGGAAACATAAAATAACTTTTAGTAACTACATTTTTAGAAAGCTGTGTTCATGCCTGCTGGGGTCTGATTCCTGCCAGACAGGACCTGTCAAACAGCATTGTAAGGAATTAAAAGATGCTAAAAGATTTAATTAATAATACAACATAATATTGAACTCTTGGTGGCTTTGTTAAAGGGGAATTTAGGAATATCCCAATATATTATTGCTGTAAAATATTGCTGTCAAAGATAAATTTCCTTTTACTTCCTCTGTCATAGCATGTGGTTGGCAAAATCTATCCCCCCCGCCGTGTGTGTGTGTGTGTGTGTGTGTTTATGTTACAGAGAGAGGATTGTAAGAGGTTTTTAACCAATTTAAACAGAGGTCATTTTTGGAAAGCACGGACATTTTAAAGTGGTTTTAGGCTTAGCATTTGAGTTTAGGTTAGTGTCAAATCAAGCTTGGAGGCAGGGGTAAAAAAGATAGGAAGTTTGGGTGGATTGCAGCAAAAATAACAACGTGTGGATTTCTGTCCTTTTCAAGTGGGGGTACACGGTACAGCTAGGGTTAGAGTTAGGTATGCACTGGTAATGGTTAGGTTTAGTAGTATGGTCGAGTTGGGTTAAATGGAAGTCCACACAAAGTCCTCGTCAAGATAGTAAAAAAGAAACAAATCTAAAATTTGTTAGAGCTAGAAAGGAGTTTATTTTAAAACTTATTAGTGAAAGTTGTCATATTTTCCATGCCATATCTCTTGATGGTCACATGTCACTTTTATCCCTCTTTGTAGGGTCAGTCGCAGCTGACGAAACAGTGAAAATATAAAAACTTCCCAGTGATCATCACGTGTTCTGTTTTTAACCATATGTGTTTTCACTTCCGTTCAATAAACTAAAAGCAGACCAAAGAAGGAGATGGGGTTTAAAATGAACAATTTCACTTTTTTTCACATTATTCTAATTCCTGCTTATTAGAAATCAAGATGTAATGATAAAGACACAAAACACACATGCACAAGCACATGCAAGCCTACTTCCCAGTGATCATCACGTATTCTGTTTTTAACCATATGTGTTTTCATTTCCGTTCAATAATCTAAAAGCAGACCAAAGAAGGAGATGTAGTTTAAAATGAACAATTTCCCTTTTTGTTTCACATTATTCTAATTCCTGCTTATTAGAAATCAAGATGTAAATAATAAAGACACAAAAAACACATGCCCAAGCACATGCAAACCTAAAGTTGTATCTGAGTGTATTCATACTTATGTGTCTTTGAAATTCCATTTCAATTTGCATTCAATATAACTAATCAAAACTACAAACCCTATAACATGAGCAGTTGTTATTGTGCTTTTTTGGCAAATAAATCCGAAATAGTGGGACTTGCATTCCAGCCCCTTACTTACGCAATAATCAAAACTTTTTATTGCAAATTTAGTTGCAAGTATTTTGTGGTATAAATCTACCAACTTTAAACATCTAAAGACAGACATTTTCTTTTGCAAAATACCTCAATCTCAGAAAGATAGAATCTAATCTGTAAAATGAACATATGACATAAAAGGAAGAAAAAAAAACAAACATACATACTCCCTGATCTGTCTGCCATTTCCCTGAGTTTTCATTAGGGATGTCCTATTCAGATAAAAATATCAGATATCAGTCTGGTATTAGCCCAAAAAACTGATATAGGATTTTATTGGCCAGCATCTGAAATCTCTGATATTTTTTAATGCTGAAAAAAAGACACACTGCTTCTGTCAAAACTTTCCTTAACTCACCGGTTGAGTCAATTAATTACCTTTTGCAATTGACTTTTGTTCCCAGTTTTAGTAATATTACTTGAGCAATAATTTTCTAGCATTCTAAAGTACAAAATAAGTAATAAAATCTGGTATGATTCCTGGTAATATCATACTGAGTCATTATTGGTATCAGCCAATTCTCAAATCTGCAAAACTGGTATGGTATCTGAAATGAAAAAGTTGCATTTGAACACCCCTCGGTCTCCATTATACTTTTTACTCATTGATGCTCCATAACAAGAATCTCAACTTGTTAACTGTAATTACTACACAATAGGATTAGGTAGCACAATATTTTCAAAGCAACTGGTTGAACTTGATGTACTTGAACTTGATACAATCAACTGGTTTTCCTCAACTGCAGAAACTTTAAGCCAAATTGACTGTATTGTCTCTATATTGTCTCTATAAAATGGCAATTGCAAATTGGCGCTATATAAATAAAACAAATTGAATTGAACTGGATAATATTCATGGCTTCTAGATTAAAGGAGGTTGAATTCAAATAAACTGGATACCTTTTAGTTTTTTATGAAAACAAAAATCTGAAACATACTTGTCCATTTTGGCTAACTTTGTGTTGGCCTGTAACATCACATAACTAAGGATTATAATGTGATAAAATAAGCTTAGAGAGGAATTTCAGGCACTGCAGAAGTAAGGAAAAAAAATATGATTATAGAAAGTATGTTCATAACCAGAAGCATTGTGGTTAGAGCACGGCAATTATGTCCTGGGAGGGCTACAAATTTCCTGGTCAGAAACCCACAGACTGCCTCTCTGGGTTCTTGAGAAAGACCCCGAGCCCCAGATTGCTCCCCCAGTGCTGCACAGTGCTCCCTAAGGGATGGGTTACAAGCAGAACACAAATGTCATTGAAATGTACAAAGTTGCAATGACAAGTATGGTGATTATAACTGATAAATAACTGTGTCAGAACCAAGAGACATGATTCCTTGACCTGAAGTTACCCAAGAGCACCTTCTGCTCAGTGAGTAGCAGCAGTGACGTCGGGACAGATGTGTCTGAGCATGTTAGGATTGTCGTTGGCGTTGCTCACATGAAAGTTTCTGGCTCAAAGCCTGGATGGGTTTTAGGGCTGTCAAACACAACGGTCATAGCAATTAAAACTTTGATAAATTCATAGTTCAGGAGTCTATTTATCTCTTTCTTATATCAACAGTTTACGATGACCAAAATTACCCTCACCCCAACCCTCCACCATTTTTTTAAGTAACAACTACTGCAGGTGCATACAGCAGACATGTCTTTATACAGTTTGAAGATTTATGAGACATGATAGTGAGAGTTAGTAATAGATATGCCAGAAGGCTAACAGATATGCAGACAGTTATTATCTTCCGTTATTCATATTTTACCCGTATATTCTTATTACCTGCAATCTTTGAAACAGTTAATCAGTCTCTAACATACATATACAACATGTTTAAGATTTCAAAAAAATGAACATATGACATAAAAAGAAGAAAAAAAAAACTTGGTCATGCGTTCCTAAGCTTGTCACAGGGATTAACAGCCCAAGACAGCCCCTTATGAGTGACAGTGAGGAATGGGGCCAAGGCCTGGTAAATTCCCACTCCGTGATTCCTGTCTTGCGAAACCCTCTTGTAACAAGGAAGTGAATCACTTCCAGGATGCAGTATAAAGGCAGAGACCGCTCCGCCAGATTCAAACAACAGCTAGAGAAGGCAAAGGAAAAGGGGAACTGAGAAGAATAAAGAGAACATTTTAGCTTGCAAAAGGATTTACTAGAAAGCGCTAATCTCTACTTAGTAACAGACTTTTTTGAAGACAAAATGAAGAGCAGCAGCGTTATTGCCCTCTTTGTCATGATGTTTTTGACCTCCCTTACAATCACCAGAGGTAAGTCTTGTTTGCTTTTTAGTTTGAAAGAGAGTAACTGCCCTGTCAGCTTTTTCATGCACTGTGAATTATCTGCTCTTTCTGACAATATGCATTTATGATCTCCTAACAGCAATGAGCCTGAGGAGCTTAGGAGTGGAGCTACATTGTCGCTGCATACAGACTGAGAGCAGACCCATAGGACGCCACATTAAGAGTGTGGAACTGATTCCAGCCAACTCTCACTGCCAAGACACTGAGATCATGTAAGAAAAAAATCCTTTACTCATTTTGACAGAGCTGATTATTTTATCACATTAATTCACTGGCTAAAATAACACTCATTTTTATCTCTTTGTGTTACAGTGCCACCCTGAAAAAGGACGACGTGAAGGTTTGCCTTGACCCCAAAGCTCCATGGGTGAAGAAAGTGATTCAGAAAATCATTTCAAAGTAAGATCCAGTTAGAACATTTTTTAATGCATCATCTGCAGACATACAATGTTAAAGTCGATTGTTTATACCGGTAGATATTTATGTTTTTTCTTTTTTTTCCCCCTTGCAGTAAAGAGAAGGCAACAAGAAAAGATCTCCCAAGCACCAACATGCCACTCTTGGTCCAATAATGGGGTCACAAAATGTTGATCTACCTGATGCTGAAAGCAAAAGCATCATCTTTCAGAAATAGTTTGCATCAAACGTTCTATTTATCAACCTACCATTTGCTCTTTGTAGGCTGCATACTGTATCTACGCTGATGTTTTTTTTTTTATTAATATTTATTTATCTATGTATTTATAAACTTTGTATGCTTTCTAATTGAAATTCAAATAAAAAGTTTGAAATGAAAATAACTGATATGCCTTTTTTTTTCTTAACAATATCATCCTTTAGTCAAAGAGATTTGTGAACCAGAAAACAGTCTTTATTCCCCCGTGTGATGAAAAATTGGTGAGAGTTCTGGGTCGTACAGAACAATAGATAAATACAATAAATTCCCTGGACTTCAATTCTAGTGTTTCTCTCTTCACCTGTTGAGCTCCCACTGAGGAAGCCTATGAGGAACATCTTTCAAATGAGGCTGTGATGAGGCCAAATGTGCTTAACCAAGTGAAATAAAATATTTTTTTTTTGTTTTTAAATCTTTTTTGCTTTCACATATATTTAGGCATTAATACTTTGGCCTATAGTACATACGTATTATGCCATCTCAGAATTCTCCTATTAGATTTCTTTCCCAATGTTGGATTATACAGACAAAGGGATTTTAACCTTACCTCCAACTAGGATTTCTCTTGATCAGAGGTCATTGATCCTGGTCCTCAGGACCTACTGTGCTTCAAAATTTTTAAAATGTATCTCCTGCAATGCCCCAGATTTTAATGATTGTAATACCTTTGTAGAATTACAATTAATCAGCCATTCAATGACTCAAGTGTGTTGCAGCATAGAAACACTTAACCCTGCAGGACAATGGGCTGTCGAAGCATTTTAGAAATCTGATGCCCATCTCCAGTAAAAAACATAAACATAAAAAATATGTTTTTAGCTTTTCTGTCTGTCTGATTGTTCTGTTTTAAAATTGTTGCTTTTTGCTAAAATGTCCTTAATGGTTTTAACTGTTTTTTTTTTTACTCCTATGACTGAATTTATGTCTTACTTTTTTATGCCTGTTTTACTCTGACTGATGGGCTTCTCTTCTCTTGACACTGAAGGTCACATGCCAGTGTTGCTTCAGACAGCTGCTTAAAAAAAAGACACTATGAAGCAGATAGTTTTCACTGACGGGGTGTGCTAAATTTTGGGAATTTTTCCTATCTTGGGTCTTAAGGCATTGCACCAACTATGCAAGTCCAAGCAGAACACTCTGACACCAGTGTGGGAAACAGGCTCTCAACCTGCAGTATTTCTTTCATAGACCTGACTGAGCTTGCATAAATCTCATTTTCCTCTAAAATGTTTTTGGGCATTATTTTGTCAAAGGACCTATTGATGAGCCGTTTTTGGTTTTCTACCAAGAGCTGAAAATAATTCATTTAAAATCTCCAACTGCACTTTTCACCAAGATTTCCAGGAAATGGGCTGGAGGTCCAAAGCATCACAGATCCTCCATCCTACTTAATAAGCATTAGGTGGTTCCTAACCCATTGAGCATCTTGTTGTAATCTTTGAAACTTTGGTCTTGCTTTTACTTTAACTTTGCTGTTTATATTCTGCTCACCTCTTTGATGTGAATTCTGGCAGCCATTATTTTACCCTTTTCCTTTGTTCAGTCACCTGTCTTCCTAAATAGATATATTTAGTTTCCAATCAACCACCTACTCCTTGTTTACTATTGAACTATCCGGATTAATGTCTTCATCAGCTCTCGGTTAGATGATCTTGTTAATCTCCCCAGTCTGTTTCCCCGTGTTGCTCTTTTCCTGTAATATATTTCTGCATCCTTGTGTGACATCAAGGAGAAAAAAACAAAAAAAAGTCTGGTTTACCCAAATGTCCGAAAGTGCCATTCTCATCTGTTCGACTATTAAGTAAAAGAAGACACTTTTTTTCACCCATCATACTATGGAGGAAAAGGACTTGTTCTTTGTTCCAGAGATAAACATGTCTTGATTCAAAATGTGCAAATTATCCCAGGGAAAAAGCTAAAAACTTAGTAAAGGTGAACAGCACAGTGAAATTAGTCCTTCTTAAACATTGGCTAAGAGAAAAATATAAAATAAAATCAAAGTACCATTTACAAAACATTTGGAAACAAAGACTTGTATTTTGGGGGACAGGTCATATGGTTTGTTAAAGATTCTCTTACTGTTTCAATGCCCTAATGAGCATTATGGAAATAGTGTCATGACTCTGAACAGAGGACCCAGGATTCGAGGCAAGGCAGACAGTGGGATTATTCAAAAGCAGTTATAATAAAAACTGGTGGACTGCGGATCTTCAGAAGTGACAGCTATGGTGTCTATCTGGAAAAGGAAACACCAGTTTGTAACCACGTAAATCCAGCGGAGGATGACATACACGCGTGAGTCACTAACCTGGTTTAACAGTTAGAGTTAAACTTAGACAGATTTATTTTGTCATTTTCTTTACACAAGTGTAAACAAAAAGAAATTTTGTTTAGAACAGCTTTCTAAACAATTTCATTTTTATAGTTCAGCCTTGATAAGCAGCAGTGATAAAAAAAAAATTGTGATATTAAGTCACTATATCTAGTTATGGAATGCGCATCATTCATGTTTGCTTGGCAGCAGTGATGTCAGACGGATCTGGATAGGATCTTAGCATCCAAATGGATTTTTACCCTGGTGGAAGAGGATCTGATGCTGGAGCATTAGGGGCCTGTTGCCTGGGCTTCACCCATCAGTTGTTGTTGGGCTTCTACTGTACTACTGCCTCCAGCTCCTGAAGCACTCGGGCAGAATTGGACAGGTGAATGAAATGAGTAATTAAGTCTGTCATCAGTGCCAAGATCATGACAGAACGCCTCCCCCAAGGGTGGATTCCAGAGAAACAATTATTTATGAAACATCTTAACTGACAATATTACATTGTTAAATGTTACAGAGAGTATGGTCAGTTAACACAATAGACATACTACCGAATTCAGAGGACTGACCAAGGCACCGGAACCTGGTGAGACCAAAGAGTAGGATGCAGATGTGTGGAGATCATGACAGGAAGGTCTAAGCATAAAAGCTACCTGTAAAAAGGAAAACAAGCAGGAATAGAGACACGATAGAACTCTATAGAACAAACCAAATATTTACCACAAAAATCGACATAGGTCATGGTACCTAATCTTTGCAGGGTGGTGGGGATGAAATAACATCAAAAATCAATTTCAAACTGAGAAATTTAAACCTATTAGCTATGGGGTTCTGTCATAATGAGTTGCTTAATGAATGTGTTGTTTTACAAGCTGAACTGATATATAAAGAAATCTGGGAAAAAGAAAAATCTTAAAAACCAAAAGGTCATGATAGTTCTTTTTACTCTTTGTCATCTTTCAAACAGAAATTATATATATATATATATATATATATATATATATATATATATATATATATATATATATATATATATATATATATATATATATATATATATATATATATATATATATATATATATCAGAGACTGACATGGGAGTGGATTTTCACTTCTGTCCCGTCCCACTCCCACAGAAAAAAATTGTGTCCCGTCCCGGTCCCGGGCCAGAGTAGAAATCTAAATCCTGTCCCGTCCCACTCCTGGTGAAATTACTCCCACTCCCATCCTGCTCCCATTCAGAATGACTCCCGCTCCTGCACCACTCCCATTCTTGTTGTCTTCAATAAGATTTCTGCCAATACATTAAATCTGAATTTCTATGAAGGGTCAGTTGAGTTCCTGTTTCTAACTGTATTAACTGTTGGTCCCTCCATTGTTGTTTTTGAGCGCGGGTGAAAAACTCAGAGCGCAAGCACTGTTGGTTTTTGTGTCGTGTATTTTTTTTTGACTCGCATTTTAGTGTAGGCTTCAAGGAAAAAAACTACAAAATGGCGCCGCCACGCCAGTACTGGATTTTTTTGCTTTCTATTTTATTTTATTTTTTGGCATCAATCCTATTTTTGTTTAGTTAATATTGGTTTGCTCCCGCTCCCGTCTGCTCCTGTTAATGTTTAATCTTGTACCGTCCCAATCATGTGATTGTGTATTTCTGATTCTGATTTGAACTATAAGGTATAGATTCCACTATGTTAACTTGAGAGACCTGGATAGTACTGTTCTAATTTGTGTTTGATTAAAACCAACCTGTTTCTAACACTACCATTTGAGGTATCTATATAATTTATTTCCCTTTCAGTTATCAATTCCCTTTAGAGAGACGTCCTTAAAAGCGGATAACAAGACACGCTTAACCTAAGACCTTTGGTTGACCACCAGGAAAATTAAGCAAGAATTAAATATATAACTCTGTTTTTTTCAAGGTCTTTATGCTTTTTGTTTAATAGAGACAGCTGCAGAACAACCATACAAAGAGGTTCCCAAATGTGTGCATTTACGTTGTATTAATTTTTAAAATTCAACAACATTAATCTGTAGATACATAAGCAAACAGACCAGCAGTTATGCTCACCACAGGGATTTTATATTTTTCTTGTACAAAATGAATAGATATCAAGCAGTATTTACATCTGATTATGTGTGCATGACTGTGAAATGGACCCCCTGACACAGCACATCACAAAACTGCCTAACAAAAAACAAAGGTGGAATATTTGGGGGATTTTATTTTAAGAGTATATTTCATCATATTCTGCTACTTGATTTGAAACATTTGGTGGTTTCCAAAGTTTTTTTGTAAGAGCTGGTAAATTATCTTCTGACAAAATGAAAGCCTTCAGTGTCATGAAGGTAAATTGATATCTTTGTGCCATGCCTGTTTTAGATGTTTTCTTGCATGCATACACCTCACTGAAATAATTTATTTATAGGCAAATTCACATAATGATTGCATACATATAACATATATAACATATAACACTTGCAAGATTTCATATGCTAAAATTACTAAGCATGTAAAAGAGAAAGATGAGAACAATATGAGAAAATCAAGGTACAGTTTACAAACTGACTAAAGTACATTCATTTTTGATAAAGCTGCCTAGTGTGGTAAAGCATTTCTATACAATTGAAGGGAAACTTCAGCGGCTGAGGAAACCATTCTAACTCTAATGCAAAGCAATGGTAGGGTCAAGTTGGAAGAGCAAATTGCTATGAAATAGAGTGGTGCATTTCACAAAATAGATGGTATTATGAGGAAAGAAAATTATGTGGAAATATTAAAGTAAGAATTAAATCCTTT